AAGAATGTGGATTCTAATTTTGTGGGGTGGAACACTCTGTAAACATCTATTAAGTTCATTTGTTCATGAATTTGATTGAGTTCTAGTATTTCATTGTTTATTTTTTGCCTAGTTGATTTATCTATTTGTGATAGTGGAGTATTGATGTCCCCCACTACTATTATATTAGTGCTTATATGATTTCTCATGTCTGCTAGTATTTGTTTTATATAGTTGGGTGCACAGGCTTTAGAGAGATTTTAAGGTCTAAATCCCCTCTATGAGGCAACACAAGGACCAGAAACTAAACCCTTAAAATGGAATTTGTGGCATAATAGTGGTGCTTTATGTGTATGAACTGAACATGAATTAGTTACTATAATGGACATAAACACAAAGAATAATATTGTATAAGCAGGATTTAACATTTTCCAAATTTAAAGTTTAAATTTTAAAATAGAAAACTCATTTAGATCTCAAGAGTTAGGAAAATTTATGCTAAATTGCTTTTAATTAAAACCTCCCCGTTTAAAAACTAATTTATATTGTGCTTGAACTAAATATCAATTGTATTTCATAGTTAATGTATAACATGTAATATCTGAAATGTGACCTTGCATAACCCTTTTGAAAAGTTACAGTAATTTTTCTCTCAAAAAAAAAAAAAATGGACAGCAGCCACACAAGAACCCTTTAAGGCCTTAAAATGGGCCCTGATAAAGGCTGCAGCATTAGAAATCCAGTGCCTAACTAAGCCTTTTCCTCTCTCCAAGGCTGAGAAATAGGAGTTGCTTTTGATGTGGGACTCAGCATCTGGACCAGGAAAACTGACCAGTTGCCTACTTTTCCAAGAGACTAGGTGGGATGACACAGGGCTGGGCTAGCTGCCTATGAGCAATAGCCATTGTGAGACTCTTAGTCAAGGAAGCTTCTAAGACAACCTAGGGACAAATACTCTTAGTTCTAACACTACATGAGTTTAAGGCTCTGTTAGAACTCAGGGGACATTTATGGATGACTGGAGAAAGACTCACTAAATTATCAGGCTACTGTTACTGAAAATCCAGATGTCTCTCCTTAGGCTTGTACTGTTTTATATCCAGTCACCCTCCTCCCAAATAACCAACACCATGAGTTTGATGAAAACATCACCCAGAACTGTGCCAGCTGCCTCAATTTGAGAGACCAGGCTTTGACAGGGATGGCTAGCACATGGGTAGCAGTTTCATTAAAGATGGGATTAGGAGGGCAGGATATGCCATGGCCAGGCCTCCCAGGTCACTGAAGCACCACTACCCCCTGGGACTTCTGCTTCCAAGGCAGAACTTATTGCCCTCCTTCAGGCTCTCCAACTTGCCCTGGGCAAGAGAGTCAATATATATACTGACTCCAAATTTCCTTTTCTGGTCCTAAGGCACATGCAGTCATGTGGAAAAAAGGGGAATTTTGAGTAGTCACCATTCTCCAACATACATGGACTAGAGATGCTCAATCTCTCAGAGGCAGTAAATGTCCCAAGTGAAGTAGCAGTTGTCCATTGCTGGGGATATTAAGGCTCCTTGGGTCCTTTCTCCCAGAGAATGTCTAAGGGAGACTTCACTGCTAAATTGCCACTTTCCAAAATAATTCTGGCCCATCAATAGCTCTATCATGGTCCCATTCCAGGCCTTAGGTTAGAGACAGGATACTCTATAGAAGAGCTTCAAACTACTCACAAGTAGTTGAAAAGGGCCAATGTTGGTATGTAGGACCCTGACTATTCTTGTGACAAGAGCAGTAGAAAATTATTAAGTTCCTACATGATGCTTTCCACCTATAGTTCCATGTCACCTCACCACCTCTATGGCACAGTCTTTGTATTGCCTGGATTCTATAACATTGTAACACATGTCTCAAGAATATGTCCTGTCTGTGTCCCTCATAATACCCAGACTCATCTATCCCATTTTCTGAACCAGTAGAAAGGCATGGGTCCTCTCTTGGAGAAAACTGGCAAACAGACTTCACCCATTTTCCTACATGTGTAACGGGTACATTCACCTCCTGGTATGCACTGACACATTTACTAGGTGGACAGAAGCCTTGCCCACCAGGTCAGGATGGGCCTTGGAGGTGGTAAGCCCTCCTTGAAGTGATTCCCCAGGTTTGGACTGACTAGGTCTACCCAGAGCAATAATGGACCCTCCTTCACATTCCAAGTCACTCATGGAGTCACCATAGCACTGGGAATGAAGTACAATCAACACACTGTTTGCAGACGCTGATCATCAGCATGTTCAATATTTTCATAATAAATGAAAATAAACATTGCTGTGAATTTAGTAGAAAATAAATGAGAGCAAGATGCCATGAAAATATAAAAGGAAGTGTGAAACTGACAAGATCATAGAAGAGGTAGTATTTTACCTGCAATCATTTGAACTACAAAGTTTACTAGGAAATGATGAATTGGCATTGATAATACAGACTATAGTAAGCAGACATGTTAGCATATTGAACATGGAGAGATGGCATTCTTAAAATTGGTCTGTGTGAAGACTATGAAGCATCAGAGAGAATTATCACTCTTGTGCCTGTAAAAGCCTAGGTAAAAGGTTTTGCCACCATGTAAGTTGAACCCAGATTGTTGGGGTGAAGAAAAGGTATATTTCAATTCTCCTATGTTTCAGGAAGTTCTCTACTGCTATGCTTTTTTTTTTTTTTTTGAGGAACATAATATGGTTCATGCACATTTTCTTATCTCAACAGAAATGTGAAAAGAGCTTATGAGAATTGCAAAATGTCAACAAAAGCTCAACAAAAATGACTGCCCCTATCAGCTCATCCCTTATTACTGGTTCTGTCACACAAAGGCTAGAGAGCACAATTATCAAAGTCTTTGGACTGGAATGAAATGGAGGTTGGCATAAGGGTGGATTCTGGAGTTTCCAAACACACCAACATCTCCTTTTGCATATAATACAGAATTAATTATTTGATCATGGTGGAGAATGTATACATAATCATCAAAATTAAGGCATTTTTTAACTTTCCCAGCCTTATTTATCTGTAGGAACACAGATAACATTAAGCTGAAGGAAGACCTTTTTTTGACTCAAGGATAATACCTTGTATCACCAATCCAAGAGTCTAGTTCCTTGGACACTTTTAAGATTTCAAAGAGCATTCTGATATCAGCTAACATCTCAGTGTTTACTCAACAGAGAAAAAAAAAGCCCTGAGTCTGAGAAAAAGGAAGTAATCAGGCTCAGGTACCCTAGTTTAAAAGCACAGTCATTACCATTACCCAGACACCACCTCTGACTGGGTAGACTTTTGTGGTCTCTTATCCTGTCTATGTATCACAGTCTCAACTATGGCCATCAATATGAGCCCAGAGACAGTTTTGTGCATGTGGAAAATGACATTTTTGCTATCCCTCAATTTTCTCATCATTAAACCTTCACTATATGAAGAATCAGGGCATTTGTATAAAGACATGTAACATGCTGCATATTTTTGGTTTGTCAGTGAAGCCATTTCCCACTACTGTATTCTCCGTTCCTATCGCCTTTTCCACAACAACCATTCATTATGTAATCCTCACAAGGCAGGGAGCTTAGAGAGCTTTCACAGGAGACAAGAGATGAGTCAGAACCTTCCCTTTATTTTGTAATATTTCAACTCAACCAGCAGATGGGCACTACCAAGGCATCTCATATGGATCCATAATAATGAGTACATTATAGACATGGTAAGATCAAGTCACAAAAGATTCTCCTTTGCAGAATAAAAGAAGACCGAGGAAAAGACCAGGCAGCAGAGGAAGAATTCATGATTCATGGCATATAGGTCAGAGAAAAACAAAATAAGGGCAGAAGAGGGTAGAATTACACCCATACACATACATTTTAGCTTCTTCATAGTGACCCAAGCTATGAGAACTTGTGATACTTTAAAATTTCTCTAGCTTCAGGTGTTTTATCAGTAAAACCAGTCAATCAGAACTGTACCTCAAAAAGTCCTTAGAATGTTGAATATATAATGCATGGACAAAGACCTGCATATTGGATGCACTCATGTTCTAAGTATATGTTTACAGGTTATCGAATGCAGACTTGAAATTTTGACATGCTTTCTAAAGAAATAATTCTGGCCTTTAGCATACATATTACAAAAATTAGGCCTGAAAGGCCACAGATGTGAAATGTGCCCCTTAGAAATCTAATGGAATGTTTCCATATTGAAAGAGGAAGAAGCCAATGAAGACATTACTACACTGAACTGTGAGGTGTTAGGGGGAATGTGGAAAATGACAAGTAGGGTTACATTACTCAGAGAATGCAGGACTCACTGGCGGAAGTTAATGGAGTGGGTTTGCTAGAAGTCAGATATTCAAGCCAAGTGATGTGATGTGACCATGCTGAAACACCTGTTTTTTGGAAAAGAAGTGGTAAATGGGGAAATGAATTGCACTTGGAAATACACTGCACTGGCCTGACTTTGTGAAATTAAAATTTAACATCACACTGCAGATTCTATGCAGATTCTCTGATGACCTCAGAAACTTCATTTTTAACATTCTTTTTCTGTCCTCTGTAACAATTTTTGGCTATGCTGATAGGAGCTTAATCCACTCAGGAAGCAGCTGGCACTGATAACATGGGAAATTATTTTATGAGCCTCGCAAAAATCCCTGTCATTTACTTTTAATATTTACTTTGAGGATCTCAAAATAAATGGTGATCAAACTTGTCTTTCCTTCAGGAAAACTGTGCCTAATTCAGTTATCACATCTACAATTGCATTATTTCTTGTAAATTCTAATTGAAAAAGATCGCTTACTTCTAAGTGTGTACTGTATATCAGCATAATACTGCCGGAGGACACATGAAGCCACATGCAACCCATTATATTGTTCAACACACAATATAACTTCATATAATGATTTCTGTGTTCTGAATGTGTAGTTATCCCAAAATACATGTTTTAGAACCTAATTCCAAAGTGATGGTTGAGGAGGTGGGCTCTCTGGAATTTGTGACATGAGGCACCTTGTACACCTCCCTGCCTTTTGAGAATTTGGTTAGAAGTCACCATAGGTAAACAATTTCTCATGAGATATTGAAGTTGCCAGTGCTCTGATGCTGGATTTCCTAGGCTGCACAACTGTGAGAAATAATTATTTCATAAGGTGAATAATCCTGTGGTATTTTGATTTGGCCCACTACAATGCACTAAGATAGGGTCTAGTATTAAAGTATTATGCATTTTAATTAATACATGTTTGAAGTACATGAAGTCCATTCAACTTAGAGAGCAGGCATATGTATTTAACATTTTGATTAAGATTTCCTTTCCCCTCCTCATCCACCACCATCTGATCTGGCTCTAGATCATGTTTCCTCATATCATCATCATCATCATCATCATTTTAGTTCATGTTTGTAACACATAAAGACCGCATTCATTGTGTGTAGTTGGTACATGGCATTAAATCTTTTTATATCCCCTTCTTCCTATCCTTGGCTTCTTGATTCCCTTCCATTTGCCAACAAGCTATCTCTCTTGTTTCCTCATATATGTTCATTAACAGATGAAGAAAATATGATATCTATACATAATGGAATATTACTTGGCTATAAAGAAAAAATTCAAGACATTTGTAGGACAATGCATAGACCTTAAAAACAATGTTAAGTGAATTAAATCATACGAGCTTAAGTGCTTTTAAAATGTACAAAGAACATATATATAACTACTTTCTGTCAAAATGGGATGAAATAAACTCATGATGTCAATTGTTTCCAAATTATATCCTCAAGAAACTATTTTACATTTCCAATGATCCAAGTATAAACTTCACTGAAATACTGAACACTTTCAGTTTAACAATATCCCACAACCTTTGGACCAACAAATACTGAATACTTTCAGAAATAAAAACAGTACAAACTAAATTACATTTGTAAAAATTAAAGGAGTCTGTGGACACAGCATGAAATTATAGTCATGTAATTTTTGCTATATTTAATTGTATTCATCAAGAAATAATAAAATCATATACTGAACATTTACAGTGTAATTTGTTGCTGTTCATATTGTGAAATTACCACATTCGTCCTTGGTAGTACTTGTATTCTCTAACACAATTACCTTCTGGATATATGGAGAAATCACTAAAAACAACTTTTAGCAAGTTGTAATGCTATGTGGCACAGCATCAATCACTGTAATCACTATGGGATCTATGCCATTTTGTACTCTACAAGAGAAACACTGTGCTTTCTCATTAACATCTATCAACTTTCCCACCTACACACATGGCAACCATCACTAAACTCTCTGCTTCTTTAAAGTTAACTTTAGATGTTAAAAACCTTTAATTTTTCTATGTGTGGCATACTTCAAATAACAACCTCTTGATCTACATTTTCACAAATGGAGGATTTCCTTTAAGACTCAATAAAATATCATTGTATGAATGAATTTTACCCATACAACTAAGGCGATGGTTTGCATGTAAAATGTCCCTTAAAGGCCATGTGTTGAAGACTTGGATGCAAGGTGCTTTGTTACTCTGAATTTAACATTATGCACTTTCCAACCTCATCAGCCTATTAATCCATAGATATATTGGAGGAAGACTGCCTCTGCATGTGTGCTTTCAATCAGTGTAACACCTGTCTGTCACTCTGATTCTTAAGCTTTCTCACATTTGGTATTTATACTAAATCTCATTTTGAGTTTGTACATGTTTTCTGATGTTATAAGAACCATAAAAACCTTTCACACAGTATTTACATAGGCTTTCTCTTCAGTGGCAGTCCCTTCATGATTTTCATGGTAAGTGAAAAAATGGAAGTGTTTCCCATATTGCTTGCATACATATGGCTTCCCTCTTATATGAATTCTTTCATGAACTTGAATGCACTGAGAAAAATAAAACATTTCCCTTTTATTTCACATGTTCTGATTCTCCATTCTATGAATTTTCAGGTATATAATACCTGGGCACTGATTTTTAAATACTGCATACAAAGAAAGGGCTTCTCTGCACTGTCCTTTCATGTCAGTGCAAGTCACTTTTATGTATTCAGTTAACTTCCTCTTTTAATTTTTTAATATCTATGATGATTACCAGAATAACTGAAAGGCCTTTCCATATTGCTTACATACAGAGGGATTTTCCTCATTGTGAGTCCTTTCATGTTTTTGACAGTGACTGTGTCTGGTAAAAGCTTTCCCACATTGGTTACATACATAGGGTTTCTCACCAGTGTGAGTCCTTTCATGTGTTTTACAATGACTCTGTCTCTTGAAAGCTTTCCCACATTGCTTACACACATAAGGTTTCTCTCCAGTGTGAGTCCTTTCATGTGTTTTACAATGACTCTGTCTCTTGAAAGCTTTCCCACATTGCTTACACACATAAGGTTTCTCACTAGTGTGAGTTCTTTCATGTGT